AATGCGAATAGGTATTTTTGGAAATCTTTAAAAATAAGAGATTTATGTCAGTATTATCCAGGCTGAGGTAAAACATATTTATGTATATAACAACATAAGGATGGATGGCATTCTTCAGAGACAGGAAGATAAATTTGGCTGGCTATGAAAGACACAGAACAATATTGGCTTATTAAAGGGTTTTGTCATTTTAATAATTTCTTTTCATAATTCAGTAATGATAAGTGATTAGAATGTAGACAGATAAAGAAGAATTAGGAGGACACTTCAGAGTAAGACATATAATCCTCCAGTGATGATTTGAGAGAACAAAATGTAGGCAAAGGAACAGATGAGACTGCAGATCTGGAAACAAAAAGACTGATGATAATGAGCAGTCATCATTCTCTGTATTTGAAGATTGATTGTGGGATCTAAGTCCCACATTCATATCTTCTTTTAACAACAGCTTACGGCACAACTCAGCAAATACTTAAAAAAGTGCAACTGAACACTAAGTTGCACACATTTACCAGTTTTTAGAAACTGGGCCACATTCTGCAATGACTAGCAGGATTTTCAAACTCCACACTGAAGCCAGTCAACACTATTCACCCTGACTTCTTAACAGTAGCCACCACCTAATAAATTCTCCACCCAGTCTTTATTACTAATACATTAATCCAGCTTCCATGCATTTTCACAATAGTGAAATATTTCCAGAATAGTTTTTGACACAAATAAAGACTGAAGATTTTTTTTTCCTGCTGAAGTACCCTACCTTCAACCTCATGGGGAGGGACAACCTTCTTCATAGCCTTTTTGGAAGCTGGTAACTGAGAAAGATTTTACTGCAGCCCAAAAGATCTAAAGTTGTAGGTCACTGGAGGATATTAAATGATAAGCAAATTCATATTTCTAAAGTAATTCTCTCAATTTATTAGCAATGCTAGCTCCTGTTCCACAGTAGGGGAGATAATAATGAAGCCTTGTTAAAGGGCGATGCGGTATCTTTCATGTAGTGTCTTCTTTTCATTTGTGATAAAGTCATTAAAGCAGCACTGTGTCTTCCTGAAGCATCAAACAATTGACTGCATTAAATCTCCTGTGCAAAATTAAGGACAGTAGCTCACTGGAAAAATAAGCATGTGTTCTTGCTAATGCTGATGGCCTTCTAAAAAGCATTAAACTACTCTAAATTTGTGACAATAAAACAATGCAGAACTTTTTTAACTTTTTCCAAAGCAAAGAGAAAATCAATTTCCCTTGTAAATACCTCTTTGTTCCAAATCTGACTAGTTACCTCTATCTCATAAGGCATGTCTTCCTTACAGACTGCCTAAATCCTATTCTCCCACAATGATCTAACTTCACACTCAATGTCTTAAATTTGGGTTGGTAAAGGTTTGTCTTCACTACACCAACACAGGCTGCAGCTCCAGAGCCCTGTCTTGCTCACCTCTTCTACAGTCACAGGCTCCAAGGATCTAGTACATGGGGCATAGCTGAAATGTCAGCTTCAATGTCCTTTCAGATTCAGCTGAGACTGGGCTGCTTTGCAGCTGGGAGTACCTCACACAGTTTCATTCTCCCAGGGCTACCCTAAAATCTCAGCTGGACTACACTTTCTTTGTTTATTCCTTCTGCAGTGTTGCATTTTAAACTCGCCTTCACTTGCTCTAGATAAGTAACACTTGTGCATTGTAAAGGCTGAGACTACTTTTTAAGAAAACTACTTAAACTTTTCAGTGGTATCAGACCAGGTTTGGACGGAGCACCCAAATACAGCAAAAGACACAGAGGAAATAATGAAACAAAACAAAACACGTAATACAGAAGTTTAAAGAGCTTGGAGCTCGTGCACAAACGGTAGAGAAGAACCTTACATTATACTTAACCTCTTCTGCGAAACACTGAAGTCTCCAAATTAAAACAAAAACTAAGGGAATACAATGGATTGATTGCCTAGCTTGGTATCCAAATACAGGAAGAACTGCTAGTATCTTCTCTGTCTTGGTTCTCATCTACATCATGCATGACTTCTACTACCACCATACATAGTCAAGAGACAACCTGAAGACCAAGTTGCCCAGAGAAGTACAGGGAAGATGAATTTCTTATGAATGAAATGCACATGGCCACATGGTGCATTTTTCACCGCAACTGTATGTCACAAAAAGTAAGTGAAAAAGTAACTCAAGGTTAAAAGCTGGTGCTGCTTCTATAAAAACTTTTTTTTTTCAATTGTACTTTCATTTTGGTGCTGTAGGTGGGAATGTTCCTTCTATCTGAGTTTTTTTTACTTCCATGTTGTCCAGGTATTGGAATGATCATTTTTCACTTTTAATTCTAAGCTAGGTATTTTCTACTTCTTTAGTAAATAGGTCAAGGGGAGGACCAGCTGAGTGTGCAACACAGTCCTGCACTCATAAATGGCCAGACAACACCCAAACTCCCCCAGCAAGGTCCTGTGTGTGAAGCCCACCTTGGAGGCCATCAATCACAAGGTAGAGTTATCCAAGGCACAACTACAGAGAAAACACATTTTCTGTATGACATTTTCTATATTCATGTGTCCTGCAGAAAAGCATCTTTTAAATTAAGAAGATGTTTATTTGAAATATGTGCTCAGACTTAAGGAGACAACTCAAAGTGGTCCTGTAGAATTTCTGAGACAATAGCACCCTAAAGCCTCATGAGTATAGCATGACAACTCCGTGTTGAACCCAGTGTTCTCTGGTCTGATAGAGCAATGCTCACTATCCTGGTCAAGGTGTTCCAGACGCTGTTGGTTTCACTCCTCCACAACTAGTATTTCCTTCATGATTCTCCAACCACAGATGAAACCTTTTTTACATAACCCCTAACCCATGTCTCACTTTTGCCCTTGCAGACGTAGAGCAAATCTAGAGCCAACAGCTGACACCAAGCCAGAACAGCAAAAAACCCAAATGTCTTCCTCTGAGTTTTGGAAGAGTTTGTCTGGTGTTCAGCTCCTAAGTGATGAAGGTTTGGCCATTAAGCTCCGAAGACTCAAAATGCCATTTTACTTCCCAAAGTTTCAAGTAGAACTCACACATATGCTGTGATGGAGGTGCAACTCTAGGGACTTTGGGCACTGTAACAACACAGACAGACATGACAATTTCAAACTCCTACTACTTGGATCACACTTCAGTTCCCACTCCATGCTTCCCAGTTATGATATTCATCTTCCCAAATAGCTCCACGGGCTGGTTTTGGTAATCACATCCTTCAAACACTTGTCCCTGTTATGCATACCAACATCTACATACTCAAAGCAGTCTCCAAAGTACATGCCAAACATCTGTTTCAACCAGCTCTGTTTAGAGTTAAAGCTGTTTGCTGGAAAATTGCCATCCTAATGGCCAGCTCCTCTGTTAGTGAACTGGAGAATTCATTTTGTATTTATCGATTGCTCCCTAATGAAGAATCATAAAGGTGCCAGAGACTCTTGACCAGACACTACTTAATTAGTACTAAAGTGCATAAAATTCCAAATCAAAAGAGTTCTTTGTCCAATGGCTCAGTCACTGGGGGAAAAAGTGACATCATTTTCTGCTTATACAGAAGTCCATAAAATTTTATTTAAAAACTCTAAGGAAATTAAAAAAATATATAAATTATTCATTTCCTTCCAGTTCCTAAGACACCAAGTAGGTCTTCCAGAAACAACTCATGCTTTGCTAAAGGAAGTACTCCTCATAAAGGACCCAGCAATATGTATATGTGTCATGCACAGAATTTATTTTATACTGAACGAAGGTATATGGTAATGGAACCTTTGTCTTCTGAACACTATAGAAACTTCTCTGTTACATAAAAAGACATAATGCAAAGCATCCAGAAGGTATTAAAAATGAATGGATCTGTCTTTTCATAATTGCGGCTCACAAAACAGTTCAATTTTTACATTCCCACAAACTACATTGTATTGGACTAATTTCTGAGGGTACTTGCTCTTAAGAAGGCAAAGGTGAGAAGAAAAGAACTCAATTAAATGCCAACCTTTTTCTTCCTCTCAAACTTGAAGCCTCAAAAACACCCTGAATAACTGGTATTTCCTTTCAAGTATTTCAAATTAAGTAATCCTGAAAGTTAATTCCCTCTTTTCCATATCATTCAAATTCTCAATTAAATAACTGAGAAAATAGCAGAAAGGGAAAAAGCCAAGCAGAATTAGACAAAAGCCCATCCCTACAAGGCAATAGCATTGCTGCTTCTATTAGGCTGCTTGTTGAAGGCATCTGTCTTCAGATTAGTAAAATCTCTTGGATTCTTTGGAATTACATATCATGTACGCAAGGAAACAAAGGAGTTTGAAATGATAACAAAAAATCCATTAAAACAGACATCCTTGCTGTAATCTACCTACAATCATTGATACCACATACACAAGAAAATACCCTCCCATCTTCCTAAAAGCTATCACTCTGACACCAAGTTCGGCATAAAAAAATCAAAATCCAATTCATGATCTATACCACATCCAGCAGCTGACGTGATACCACCTTTAGTCCTCTTATCTTAATGATAAACAAGTGCATTTCACCAGAGAGAGAGCAGGTTTCCACAAACAGAAAATGGAGCAGGAGGAGCATATAAAGGATGAAACAATTGCAGTAAGGCAAATATCCCAAGAAGGCAGAATAGCAAAGACACATACATACATATATGGACTTTCCAGACATATGGTTTCCTTTACTGAAATCTATTCCTTTTTCCTTTTTTTTAAATTAAACTGCACCTTTTTTCAATAGGTGTAAAATTACACCAACAGCATCTCAGCTATCCCAGATGATTTCAGTAAGTCTTCTGCAGAGTTTTGTTGTGTGCTCTTAGCAGATCAGACTAGATGCTTACCAGTACAAGTCCCAAGAAAATATGCTCCAGAACAGTGGAAATAAAGAAAAACATAGAAGAGAAAATGGGAGGGACAGCTAACCACAGAGAAGCTGGGGAAGGGTTACCAGAGTGAGGTCACACAAACCTCTGCTTACCCCTTGCTCAGATTCCAGCAGCTCTGTTTTGACTCTGACTGCCGGCATCCCATCAAGCATTAACATTCTGTTCTCAAAGGCGCTGATGTCCTAAGGCAAAAAAGGACAAGGTTAATCAAAAAATTATGAAAAAACCCACTTGTTTCAATTCACTGGTTTAAGTTCTACAATACTGTAGAAGTATGTTTCTTTCAGCGGAAATGAAGTTAACGAGGAGGATGTAATAGTAATTTCAAGGAGTAGCTGCCAAGTTACTACTTCTGCTAAAACAGTAAATCACACTTTCAGTTATCCTTAAATGAGAACTAAGTCTTTGTAAGCAACAAGGAAAAATCATCTCCAATTACTATTTTGTAATTTGAAATTAATTACACAGGTACACGTATATTAATTCCTTGCTTTAGAACTGAAAAGAAAAGCAGTGGTGTCAAAGAGTTTGAAGGTTTTGGCAGTATGCTTAGGTATAGTTGATTTCAGTCAAAACACTTGCACTTCTGGTAGAGAAAGCTTATATGGAGAGAAGTTACAGTGAAGGCCTGTATCCATACACATTATAAATGAATACATAATTGCTCAAATTTCTTTTCATCTTATAAAGTTATCAGCATTTGCTAATGAAAATCTCCACACACCTCTGAGACAAAAAAATAATCTCTGAGAGAGATAAAAAAGCAAGTTAAAAACAGGCACTGTCCATGTAGTTATGGGCACTATATGCTGAGAGCTTCAAGCTGAAGAAGGATTTGCAGAACTGTGGTTCTCTGAATCAACATTCCTGCTGTTACTGGAGCAGTTTATGAGGACATACAAAACAATCCTCTTGTGCCTGCAATTCAAACAGTACCTCAACCCGAATCAATTTTCTACGCAAGCCAAGGCTCAAGGCCGGTGTTTGAAGGCAAGTGTCTTCAGCTGCCATTTAGTCTGGACACCATGGAGAGAATAAAAACATTTTATCCTTCAAGCTAGCATGTGAGCTTACAAATCCAGACACCTTGGTCAGTGCTAAAGAAATGTGGAGACATCACACCCATTTTTCAAATAATGTAACTGGAGCACACTTCACTTACAAGTGACTCATTCACAGGCAGTTATTAATCTGCAGCCCTGTCTGGAAGACTCTAGGCTGGAAACTCACCTCTGCTCTGGTACCTCATAGTCCTCTAACTGCATGAGAATGGAAAAAAAACCATTTTCCCTGTGTTTCACAGGCAGCAGATTCATTCAGCACTGTGTGGTGCCATTATTCATAAGGAATGCATTCATAGCCTTGTTTCTTATGGTTGCTTCAGTGGAAGCCTAAGGAAAATGGTCTATCGGAAGGGAGCTTCCAAAGTACTTTTTAAAAACTTAAACTACTTTAAACATTTTCTTTTTTTTCCAATCAATAAACCTCATCCCAGGACCTCCACTTTCCAGGATAGAAATACTGCAGAAACTGTTTATTTTTTGTATACTCCTTTATTGTAATTTAAAGAACATGTTGAAAAGGGAAATTGATAGGCCCAACATGCTGCCAAAAGCAGAGCAAATTACCTGCTTAAAATCCCTGTCACCCCCACTTTAAGTCCTGTGTATTTTAGCACCCAGAGCTGTGGTGCTTACTTACTACAGGACTGGAAGAAGCTTGATGGTGAAGCAGATAAGCAAGTGCAATCTCTATTGCCTTCCTTTAAAAGTAGATTTAGATCATTCACAAAAAGCTCTAAATGCTTAGAGTTATAAAATTTCAGATTGAACAAGTAATTTTCAGCAGAACACCTCTGCATTCAAACATGTGAGAATGGAAACCAGTCAAGCTATTGACGTGTCTCACTCCATGCTATGCTACGGCTGTGCATCTACTGTTCTTTTAAAGGTTGACACAACAGGAAGGGGAAGAAAAACAAGTTTCTCCTATGTTTGCTGAGCAAATTATTTTGTGCACCTTGATCTTTATTCAGTGTTTGAGGCATGAGGTAGAAAAAATGCAGGAAAGAAGGATCCCTGATGCCACAAAGGAGCTGGATGAAATTGTGCCTGGCTTTACATCTTTCTCCCCAGCAAGGGCCCTGCACTGTTTACTTATTAGCAGCAGATCTCAGGTGTCACTGAGCCCCATCAGTTTGGATGTGGTTTGAGGTGGATAAAGAGCAGAAGCCAGCATGGCATTCCTGGCTCCCCCAGTGCCTATTTTGCAAGTTGAGAGGTCCCTCTGCTTTCTTGATTTATAGACAGCACAGTTGAATTTTACAGCAAGATCAGGAATACACCATCATCAAACATCCCTTAGGCTGTTTAGCTCATAGACAAAGAAGGATGGCTGATGCTGCACCGTGTCCCTGAGGAAGTTTTACCCGCCTGAGCAAAGGGACAAGGCTGGCTTACACAGGAGGCACAGGCAGAAGGAGGGGGGAAGACAAAGTGCCATGGAGGAAAGGCAGGTTTAATGAACTGTTAGAATCTGATTAGAGGCTAATGTCCCTTTTAGTGCTTTGTACCAATTTACAGCTGATATACTTGAACCATTTTTTCCCCACTGGCTGTGATAAACTCATTAGTTTTAAAAATGCAAGCTAAACAGAGCCTTTGAAGTCTAAAACTGATAAATCATGAAAACCTGACTAGTTCATGTACCATTTAACACATTTACATTTAACTAAATTTTCACTGTGTTCGCTTCTCCTTTTGTTCTCCAAAAATCTTATTTCTTAAAAACAGCCTTTCGAGTGCAGGTCTGAAGAGCAAATACTCTGGCTGCGAACAGCTCTGCCTTTCGGGTAATTTATAATTCACAGGAGCAATAATCACAGGAGTAAATTATTTCCAAACTATTTGATCTCTTCTGCATTTATAACTTGAAGTACGTTGTGTGACACATCCTCAGAGGCCACTGCCAAGTAGATCCAGTCTATGTGTGATCACAGGGACGACAAATTCAGACCAAAGTCACCCAGAGAGCTGATCCTTCCAAATGGTGCTCTCCTGCCATAACCAGTGCTTGTACCATGGTATGTTCAAAGCCATGCAGCAAACCAGGTATAATTGCTGAGGTTTGCACAGAGTGGGCTGTCACCTAAGGCAAAGGGGCTTGAGTACTCCCACTGAGGCTGGAGATACGAATTGAGCTCTTCCAGGAGCCTTCAAGGTCAGGCAAGCAGATGGAGCATCCACACCAGAGTGAGGCCAGGCTGCTCCAGTGCCCACATTAACTGATGACACTCATGAGACCCACTGGCAGAGACAGGTGATGTGATGTATTGAGTCAATGCATTATTCAGACAACCCCATTTTCTTCATTAACTGTGGTAGCTAACTTGCAGCCCCCAAAATTGCTCAGGTGAAGGGTACCTTAATTTGTGTGACAGTCCTTCCTTTTCTAGTCTCCCACCTCAACCCTTCTGGTGGACTCCTTTACCACCTTTGTAAAATGCACAGCAGATGTAGGTCCTAAACTGGGCAGACAATCAAGCCAAACACTGCATGACCTTACCAAAACATCTGTTCTCTTGGATGAGTAACTCATCCTAAAAGAGAGAATGCTGTCTTTCTCAGTGCCATCCGCTGGAACCTGCCACTAATCACTTTTGGACATTTATTCCCTTGAAATATTAATTAAAAACACAAATCATACCCAGGTCTGTATGGGCAACTGCTACTAGAGCAGTTGTTACACAAGACAGATAAGCTTTCAAGCTCTTCCGAGAAGCTGTGGCAGTCCGTTAATAACCAGACTCCCCCACTCCTAAAAAGCCTGCATTTTCTACATTTCTTACATACTCCTAAAAAGCACAGCACCTCTACAGCCATCACTGGCATTTTCTTCATGAGGATGGCTTTCTGTGGCAACTTTTTTCCGTTTGCAATAATTTAATCAAATTATTTTTCACTACTTTAGAGGAAGAAAAAACTCCCCAAATCTTGTTATCTCATCCTGATACAAACACCCTCAGCACCTTGTAGTGTTTATTTAATTATAAATTATACTATTATGACATTTGCCATTCACAAGAAGTGCTAAGGTTTTGTAGGCAAGTTTTTTCATTTGGCCAAGCCATACATTTTGAGAATCACTCTGTAAACTTTTAACAGCCAGAGAGGATCTGATGCCACAACTGACCTCATGTTTTGATACACCACCAAAGGCACCCCTAAACACCCTTTATAATTTCTTCTAAGCATAAAATGACAGAAACCAGATATTTATATTTATTCATCAAAGCAAGAGTCAGCATAACACAAGAAGACAAAAAATGTGAAGCGATCCACTCAAGGTAAAGTGGAACCTTTTAATAGTATGACTAGGTAAGTTTTTCAAAATGTGAAATTGGTTTTTTCTCTTAGTTTCAAGGGATAACAGAAAAGTGAAGGATTACCATCTCTTATCAAATATAACAATTTTCATAGGGAGAGGAAGCCAAAGAAACCTGTCAACTAACTTAGTTTTCTGAAGACCTTTATACAGCATACAACGAGATCTGTTATTCACTTAAATGCAGTTCTCCCTGGGATGAAACATACCAGTTAAAGAAAGTACATTCATGTGGCTAGAAGAGAATCACTTAACTGGGAGTTCTGCCAGGGAACTGGAGGTAACAGCCCATGTCTTGCCATAAGATCTTCATCATATGTAATTATATCCACAGCTGTGTGGAATGTTCATAATGAAAGCAGAGATTCTGGTAGTTCTGTATTTTACTCCAAACTTGAATTTTCAGTCAAATTCACCAGCAAACTACAGTTTGCCTTTACTGATGCTTCAAGGAAAGCCAAAACAATTTGTGCGAAAAAAGTCAGATAAAGTCTTAGACTTGTTACTGTTTTCATATGAAACTGGGTGGGGTTGATTCTAGTTCATTTCAGTTCAAAATTAATTTTCTTTGGTGAGAAGGGGCACAGACTACAAGGCATCCAGTGAACAGGGAGGCATCTCAGCTCTAAGCTTTTCAGGAAGGCTTCTGAGTGTGGTCTCTTATTACAATTGTGCCTGCCAGGTAGAATCCAGACCTCAACAGCGGCTGTCAGTGCCTGAGGCACATGCAAGGGTTGGCCTTCAGCACATGCTCCCAAGCTCAGATCCTTGCTAGGAATACCAGACCATGTGCAGCTTT